GTGTTTTTTTTTACCCTGTCTGCTGTAGGCGCATCGTGTTCGGCTGACTCCGTCTCCCGAAGCGTTTCATAATTCTCATATTCACTATGGTGGGTAGTTCGAAGATGGTGAAAGAGATTGGTCGTCGAGCTGCCTTTGACTGCAACCAATTTTCGGCACAGTTTGCAGATCGGCGTCTTTTGACTAACATCCGACCTTTCAAAACCAAACCGCCTCCATGCTAGTGATGACGACCCACGTCTAGGAATTAAACCTAGCGTGGATTGTGAGGATGCTGGTGTTTGAATGTCTTCTGCTCTTACAGTTTCTTCGCTCATTTTAACTTCTGTCGAACACTGCAATCTGTCCCGCTATCCCATGCGCTGAATGCACGCGCGCGTGCAGTAATATACTACAGCACGCAGTGAATTCGTGATCACTTAATGCAGCGTTTTGATTGGCTTCTGAAAATGAGTGACATACTCGATATTTTGATTTTGCATATCGTTAAACCAGCAATTACGATATTATCGCACACGATATATATCGCACACCCCTAGTTACTTGTCGTTATTATGACGTTGTTTAAAAGTTACAAAAACATTTCTTACAGCATTTTCCTAACTATATTTTTACTGAAAATATAATATTTGTAATATTCTATGAACATTATTGTATTATTCTTATTGTACGTTTAGATTTTGCATATCGTTAAACCAGCAATTACGATATTATCGCACACGATATATATCGCACACCCCTAGTTACTTGTCGTTATTATGACGTTGTTTAAAAGTTACAAAAACATTTCTTACAGCATTTTCCTAACTATATTTTTACTGAAAATATAATATTTGTAATATTCTATGAACATTATTGTATTATTCTTATTGTACTTAGAAAGTTATTTAAAGGTTACTAATAAGTTTCTTACAACATTCTACTAACTTTATTTTCACCCAAAATGTATTTTTAATATTCTAACAGCATTTGCTCTGAACACTGAGAATCTCATCATAAGGACGTTTAAAGAATGTTGATGTCAGACGTTTTCTCTCAAGGTTATGAGAGCATATATCAAATATTAATACAGTTATAAGAACATTACTTTAAGAACTTTTGTCCTAACATTAAAAAAAGCGTTAGATAAAGTTGTGAGAGTGTTTTCTGTTGCTGGGTTTGCACTGGTTCCAGCAGCTCAGCATCAGTAATAAGTGTAATAAAATAAAGCAATCAGTCCAGAGGTCATATGAAACTGTGAGTGTGTGTGTTCCCAGTTTTGAAATGGTATTAATCCACATCTAAAGAAAACAGGACTGTGGTGGTGATACCATGCTACGTGTTTTTCCTCCTGAGCTATTTGTGTAAAACACTCACACAAATCAACATGCTAAAACCCCTCAGGTGTTGGTTTGCGTGAGGACTGAGGTGGATCTGAGTGTGTGTGTGTGTGTGTGTGTGATGTGTGTGTGTCTGCAGTTGATGTTAGTTCACTGCGAGCTTCACGTCGTCCTTCATCACACAGACAGCAGAGCATGAGTTCACTCTGAACACAGAGAGACAGACAGAAACACAGCGGAAAGGACTCCTCTAGAGTTCCTCAAGGTCTCAAAGAGTCATCAAATTCATTTTTTAGCACTGCACTCTTATGTAAACAACTATTGACTCCTTTACGTGTGTTTTAATTCATGCTGGGGTAGTTCAGGAGAAATATGCGAAGCAAAGTTGATACTGAAATGAAGTGCAGTATATTGTTTTTAACCCTTTAAATGCTCGAGCTCTTTAAAGCAGGATGGATTCTGATTGGCTGTCAATGTTTTTACTGTTCATTATCTGGAAGAAAGTCATTCTGATTATCATCATTCTTGGTGTGAACAGCTCTTTACATTGATGAAGAGTGAGGAATTGTATTGAAGACAGGCTCAAAATATCAACAAAATGACATGAATGCTGTTGTATGTGTTCTGTGCTGATATTGATGATAGGATGAGATGAATACATTTACAGCAAATGATCTGCACAACAGAGACTCAATTGATTTGCCAAAGTTGCACATATAAAGGGAATTTTTTGCTTGGAGCATTTTTGAAAAACTATTTTCACCTTGAAGTTGGCGCTTTTCACATTTCCGGATTCTCAGAAACAGAAGTCGTCATAGTTGGGTAAACTTCTACAGTGGTTATCAACTTAATTATTTTAGATCATACTTTAATTCAAAATCATCTGGGCTCAAAAACAGGAGGGCTCTAGTAATATAAACCGGAGTATATATAGCAGGGTTCCTCAATAGGCGGCCCGGGAGAGAAAAAAGTTTGGCCCGTGCTAATTTCAAATAATGTGGCATAAAAATTCAAAAGCAGAATAAGAAAGCTACATTAACTTACATCGTGTCTACACCGGACGCGAGCGGCGCGGAGCAATAAAATACAATAGAACTCATTATAATCAGTGATGCTGTCTTAGATGCGGCGCGGCACGACAAATCCCCGACAGTAAACTGCTGACTCGTTCTATTTATAACGTACTGACACAACGTTCAAATGATTTGCAATGCTTTGTCGCGTCCAGTGATTCACAAAAACATGGCGAGTGTGTAGAAAAGAAAAGTGGACACGGAAAATAGATGATTCAAATGTGAATGGACTGAACAGTTTTGAGTGAGTGACTGATATCTTTGTTATGGAATACACGTGTTGGTTCGCAGTGAGTTCACAGTTTTAACGTACAAGTTTGCTTTAATTTATTTTCAAGATCTGAGGTAAAATATCTATTGTTGCTTTCACTATGGCTATAAAGATAATGCAAAATAATATTCAAACTCACATTAGACACTTAACATTGAATAAAGCACATAATCATTACCTGAGATTATCACTGTCATATTTTGTATGTTTCCGCGACGTCGCAGAAAATAAAAATCGTTCCGAAAATAGAATCACATGTCGCTTATTGTCACGTGTCGCTGTCGCTGTGGCGGGTGGTTAGGACAAAAACTACAAGGAAAATATACTTTTTATCGTGTCGTGTCTTGTTGGGACACACGGTGTTACAGTTTGATCCCCCC